TTCCGGACAAGTCACTCGTTATATAACACAAGACAAATAACACACACACAAAAAATTAAGAGAGAGAGAGAGAGAAAAAGAAAAGGCTTGAGAAATAAATTTTAAAATTTGGTTGAACGTATAAAGAAGAAATAAAGGAAAGAGGAAAGTTCATTATCTAGAACACTCTAAACTCAAAAAGTTAAAGGAAGAAGATAGAGAGAGAGAGAAAATAGGAATCCTGTTTAGAATCAAAGGAAATGAAAGGTTCTCTGCTGAAGCGTCATAACATAAAAGGTTTATTTATTTAACTTTTTGTTACTTTTCTTCTTCTTCTACTCCTCCTCCTCCTCCCTTCCCTCTTATCCCCTTTATTATTATTATTATTTTTTTTTTCTCCCAGCTACAGGTTTTAATTTATGTATATATATATAATCATCATTATATTTATTTTAATATTTCTTAACGTTTTTCCTCCCTTCCCTTCCCGCATTAAAAAAAAAAAAAGTAAATTAAAAAAATTTTTTTTTAAAAACGTTTTTTATCATCATCATTATTATTATTATTATTATTATTATTATTATTATTATTATTATTAAATAGTATTTATACTTTTGCGACCGGATTTATATTTATAAATTTAATTAAACTTATACGCGCGCGCGTATAAGCACATAAACGCGCACATAAATTTATGTACATATTATTAAAAAACGCATTGTTATTAAAATGAAATTCTTTTTTTTTTTACATGTTCCATCTCTCTGTCTCTCTCTCTCTCTCTCTCTCTCTTTCACGTATGAAAACTATATTTAGTATAAATACGCTTTGAACCTCGTTTTTTTCTTTTTTCTGAAAACATATTCTTTTCTACCTAATGGTTTTTATGTTATTTTTCAATTTCATATCTAAATGTGTTTTATATTTACATAATAAACATTTATGTTCTTTTCCACAAACGATACGATTTTTAATATTATTATCATCATCATTATTATTATTATTATTATTATTATTATTATTATTATTATATCGAGGTTGTATTTATATAGTTTTTAAAATGATATTATTCTCTTATTGTTTTTTTCGCACACACAGAATTCTTTCATACTTTTCTTTTTTCTTTGGTTTTTTTTTTTTTTTTTTTTTTTTACCGAAACGATAATTTTATATATATATAAAAAAAAGGAATCGAAAAAGGTTTAAAAAAGGTTTAAAAAGGTTTTGAAAAAAAAAAAATTTTCTTTCCCTTATCCAATAAAATTTCGGGATAAAATTTTTTTTTAAAAAACATTTTAATAGATTGTGTAAAATATAATTTATTACTTTAATAACTTTTTTTTTTTTATCCGGTTGTTTTTGTTTTTTAAAAAAAAAAAAATTTTTTTTTGTCTTCTGCTTTAAAAAAAAAAAAAACTAATAAAAAAAAAAATAATCATTGGGTTTTAACGTAATTATTATTATTATTATTTTTAATTAATTATTACACGAAATTTTTTATTCAATGTAAATTTAAAAAATTTTTTTTTCGTAAAAAAAAAAAAAAGGATTTTAAAAACTTTTTTTTTTATAATGAAAAAACAGAGAGAGAGAGAGAGAGAGTGGGAGACGTGGAATCAGAAAAGAAAATTTTTTTTTTATATATACCCAGACTTTTAATCAAATTTTCATTTTGCTAATGAATATGCTTGAGCACGATCATTTTATACGTCAACGTGTTAAAAGATTTGAATTTTATATTTTATATATATATTTTTTCCTCTCTTTCTCTCTCTTTAAAATTGTTTTTTTTTTTTAATAAAAAAAATTTTCTTTTAAGAGAAAATCAGGTTTCCCAACAGGAAAAAAAAAAAAAAAAAAAAAAAATTTCCTTCGGGGTAAAAAAAAATTTTTTTTTTCTAACCGACGGAGTAAAAAAATAAAAATTACACTTTTAATTTATTTATTTATAATAATAATAATAATAATAATAATAAAATAAATTAATATGCGTAAGATTTCTATAGGTTTTTATATACTTAATAATAATAATAATAAATTAATTTTTTTTATTTGAGGACACGATAATAAATATAGGAAGGAAAATAAAATAAAAGAACGTTTACAAATGATAAGAAATCCAGAATTCAAGGACACTGATACAATAGTCGTGGGAATAGCCGGAAGAGACGTTTTACTTCCGTGTCACATAATTAATTTAAATGATAAAGTGGTAAGTAAGTAAGTAAGTAATTTAAAAAATGAAGGCAGAACAAAATAAAAAAATAATTTTAATAATTAATTATTAAATTTTTTTTTTTTTTGTGTCGGTTGATTAATTTATTTATTTTAACGACAGCTGGAAAATATTTGACAGATGGCGGCAAACTGGAAATTTTTCGGTTACGCTTTGATTATTTCCTTTTTTTTTTTTTTAAACGTTAATAATAATATTTTGTTATTATTGTGTGTGTGTGTGTGTGTAAGTAATAACTTATAATTAAAAAAATTAAAATGGCGGTAAATTACTTATTATTATTATTATTATTTTTGTGACTTTGAATTTTTTT